ATTAGCAGAAAATAAAGCTACCAGGATCAAAAAGAATTTAACTAAGAACTAACCTTCTAACTAGGGTAGGGATTGTATAAAATCAGAAATCAGCAAAATTTCCTACACAGCCAAGTTTTTTTAGGCTTTGCAGCCCATGCATTCATGGCCACTGTAGCAGAAAGGCAGCCATTTTTTTTTCTCTTAAATGAATGGGTTAGTGAAGCTCTATCTCAAAGACACTTTATTTACAGAAACCTGAATCTTATGCATGCTTTATATATTATGCATTTGTTATCTTCTTTCTATTTTATTTTGTTCTTCAAGCAATATTAAAAAAAACAGTTTTAACTCCTGGTTGATAGTGAAATAGACAGTAGACCGAATGTGTTTCTAGCCCCCTTATTTTCTGACCCTGTCTCACAGTAATGAAAGAACATTGCACAAGAAAATAATAAGCATGCTTTCATAATTATGCTTTATTTGCAAGTAAGGCTCTGCACCATATCAGGCACATAGTAGCTACTCAATTAAAGCAGTCCAAGAACTGAAAACTAGTGGTTGGTATGAATGAGTCTGAAGATCAGGCTTTATAATCCTAGCTACTGAGGAGCCTGAGACAGAAGGTGGAAAGTTTAGCCTCTCTGACTAAAGAACTAAACTTCTTTATTTTCTTTCTTAAACTTTTCTTTTAACTTCATATATGTGTTTATGTGTGTATTCAGGATGTATGCCCAGGTAAGTGAAGTGTGTAACATCTATGGAACTGGAGTTATATGATGCTGTAGGTCACCCTACATGATCACCGACAATATTTGGAAAATATTTTTCATATTCATGGCTGCCATCTCCTCATCCTCAGATCTAAAATTCTAAGTTCTCTGTTGGCTTTGAAAAACTGTCCTCTAAAGAAGGTGATGTAAAGGGGTTAGTTTTTAGTATGATGAACTTAGCAGGGGAAGGTGAAGTAGAAGAGGCATGGAGGTCCTTGTGTTCACAGATAAGCACTAGGTGAGCCAGAAATGTTAAACACAAGGGATTTCTCTTCCAAGAGAGAGATGTATAACTGTTTTCCACCTAGAAGGCTGGGAACAGACATGATTAATAAATAGCCTGGTGACTTTTGTGCTATCTGTGTGGCTAGAATACACTGATTCCCCCAGACCCTTATCTTGAGCTTGTTTGTCTCAATCAATCTGTAGTTCTATCCTTCCTCCCACAGATCCTTATCATTAGCTTGTTTAATCTGAGTCTGTTTTTATTTTAGTTAATCTATAGAAATTACCATTATGGAAGATGTCACTCGTACTTTATGAAGAGTTTCCATGTAGTCATGTTTTAAGCTTGTTGTGCACATGGGACTGAGTTAATTATCACTAGACAAATGTTACCAAATTGTTCTGTGCTTTAAAAAGCCTAAAATAAACAACCCTGGGTTGCACTGTCAAAGTTTGAACCATCACTGGCTACAGAGTCCTGCTGAACCAGACTACTTTAACTGCTGTGGATCATTTTTCTACTGGCCTTGGTGGTTGCAGAGACCCCCTCCATCAAGAAAAAAGAATTATGATTCTATAATGTTCTCAAAAGATTTGAGTAAAATAAAATGCATGTTTAGAGTGGAAATGCAAATTGATTTAATTAAGTGGTTCATAATTTGTAGTTTAACTTTGAGGAGGTAATGCATTGTTAGCATTACTGAAAACAGGGAAGTGTAGGCAAGTATCCTAAGATCAGAGAGATGGGAAACAAAGACTCCAGGGGCCTGGACATGTACCTCAATTGGTATAGTGCTTCACTTTTAACCATGACTCCCAAGGTTCAGTCTTGAGCACTACATACCAAGCACAGTGAGTCATGGATATACTGACAGGAGGTAGAGGCAGGAAGACTAGGAGTTCAAAGCCATCTTTGGCTACATATAGAGGTGAAGTCCACCTTGGGATATATAGATCTTGTCTCAAAAAAATCACTGATAGGAAGGAAGGAAACAAAGAAGGAAGTACAAAGGAAGACAAACTATTAGCAGAAAGTTGTTGAGTGATGAAAACATGGGAGTACTTAATGCAAATGAAAAAATAAAATTGTCTTTCCCAAGGACATAATGCAAGATTTGCTGAAGGTAGGAGCATGAAGAGCAAGAGGGAAGACAGTAAAGTAGATATTTGAGGCCAAATTGTTGTAATGGGTAATCAATATAAAAAATATAATGATGAATTCCCAATTTTAAACAAGTGGATGTAATTTCCAGTTTGACTTATTAAGGTCCTGCAAAGAAGGTACCAACAGCGCTATTAAACTACAAGATTATAACTTCTAACATAGCCAGCATAAATCTTATAGACCATTAATATTTTGGGATAACTTAACAAATATACATGAAATATAGGGTTTAATATGGAAATGGCCCAACCAGAATAAGTTCTAATTTTGAGCTAGAATCATATTTTTCTTTCTAACTCTTATCCTATTAGCACACATTATTTAAATGCTGTTTTTATTGTTGGTATTTTTGTCTTTTCCCATTAAATGCTTAATACATGTGAATAACATCTCTCTATAATTGCCACCCACAAATATAAGTACTAATATGTCTAATCTGAAGAAGAGTAGCATTATCATTAAGTGGAACCTAAAAGACTTTAATCAGAAATAACAACATAGGCAAAGTAAAGGAAACTCAAGGTTTCTGAGAGGAAGATCCTAATGACTTTTTGAAAATGATTACAAGTCTGACCAGGGGTGCCTTTTGGGAATGGCATAAAAATAGAAAATCATTCCTAAGTTGAGCAATTTAGTTTACTGTTGAATCATTCTGAAGCACCAATGCTGTGGAAATTGCTCCTGGTCTGGCAGTTGTTTGCCTGACAGCTATGTGTCAGGTCATTCACATCGTATTACTACTGCAGATTTAGTGGGAAGATTTTACACAAGAGCAACACATTTGTAAACAATTTCCTTATATTCAGGGCCTTTCATCAGATATCAACCTTAGGTCTAACTTCCCTCCCAGCACGTTGTACCTCCATAAATATTTTATCTGGTGTTTATCTCTCAAAAACATAGGGTCTTGTCAGTGACATTCAGTACAGTTCTGAAGAAAAGTTACCCAGGTGTTTCATGGGAACTGATGAGTGAAATTTCAAAACTACACTCTGTTTTAAATAGGTTCTGCCTCCAGCTTGGCATGACCTCTTCAAACTGCCATGGCACTCTCCATGGCCTCACTGCTAATCAGCCATTGTGCTACAAGTTATTAAACAACATTCATTTCCTAACCCAGAGCTATCTGTATCATTCAAAACTGACTGCTTGGATTGTAGGTTATTTACAGGTTATTCTGTGAAGAATAGAATGCCTTAAAGAATAGGGAACTGGGATGTTCCTGATCCTTACAAACTGAACTGATTTCAGCTGGCAGATGCTCTATGTCCTGCTTGAGTTACACCTGATGCTGCATAATGTAAACTGTAAACCACAAATACCTCATTACAAAGTGCTCTGGTGTTTCCATTGTATTGCAGATTTTAAGACAAACTTGCAAACTACCTGCAATGGCTATGATACCTGAGATATAGTGTATTATTGGATATTAATGTAATCAGTCATGTCTGATGTGGATATTATCATTGGTTTTGCTAAATCCAAATGGAACATTCAAGGAACACTGTTTTGTATGAATTAGAGAAGAAAGCAGGTACTCAAAAGTAGTTTGGGATTTGATAGTCTACAAATACTGTGTGCAAGAGTGTACAAATAAAAGAAAGTTGACATTAGCTAGCAATTGTCAGTTCTAAATAAAAACCCATGTAAATCTCTACAATGGTCATTCATCAGATTTTTGTGCATGTGTGTACACTCAGAACTCTAGTATACTGAGGCAGCTGCTGGCATTTTGTCATGTTTTCTTGGTGATTTTGTAGGTCTCTAACAGTGGATCTGAGAGAGAGGGGAGGTGTTGGAAGCTAGGAGGAGTGGAGGGAGGTAAACCTGTGACTAGGATGTATTGCTTGAGAGAAAAATCCATTTTCAATTTAAAAAGGGGGAAAAAGAAGATAGAGAAACTGAATATATCTTTGCATGAGGTTTGTTCTCGTAAAGATACTTGACACTGGGAGGTCTTAGAAGAAATTAGATTTATTATGTTTTTGTTAAACATTGAGTGAATAAACAAACAATAAAAATGAAAAGGGTTTCCATTTCACTAGAAAAATCAGTAACTGGGTATCAAGTCCAAAGGACACTCCATTACCTTCACAGAAAGGCAAGCCCATTGACTTGGTCCAAAATTGAGTGGAGGCTCAGCTCAAGCTGGACTATAGAAGGATTTTTTGGCAGTTAGATAAAAGCCAGCATTCCTCAGGGACTGTGAAGTGGGTTTCTGTCTGCTGAAAGGAGTCATTCTCCTTACCTCTGGCAGAGGGACATATTGCTTTATTGACATATGCCTGTGACACCTTTCAACATACCAAAGTTGATGCTAGCCCCCAGGCCTCTTCAGCCCTTAGTCACCCATAGAGATTTCTGTAATTCACAGGATTCCATCACCACATATACCCTTTTTTAAATTTCCTGTGTAATGGTAAGGTTTTCCCATGCCTTGGCTATTCTCACTATTTCCGTTCTTGTTATTCTCTATGATTCTCACTACCTAGGCCTGGCCGTGTCCAACCTGATTCTTTTTCTCCATGTTCCAGACTCTTCTACATGCCGCTGGATATTTTCTCTCTCTTATCCACAATAAAAAAACCTTCCTCATAATCATGGAAAATCATCTCAGTGGTTTTTTTTTCTGCTCCTCCACTTAATCTTGGGATCTGGAATATTATTTATATTGCTTTCTATACATCTGCAGTGAACTTAAATTTTCTCTGCATTCCATTGCCACTTTTCTTATTTAAATGTTCAACATTTAATGTTGAGCATACTAAAATCACTAAATATAAATTTTACTCAAGATACTTTCATTACCATGTTATAATATAGGATGTAAATTTGTTTTTCTGTTTCCTAAACTAAAGGATGAAGTCTGTCCCAAAGATGAAGAGGATGAAGTGCAGAGATGTGTGTGGGCTTCTGCTGTTAATGTCAAAGACAAGTTCATTTATGTTGCTCAGCCAACTTTGGATAGAATATTAATTGTTGATGTGCAATCCCAAAAAGTTGTTCAGGTATGTTTGATGGCTACTTTTGAAAATGTAACTTAAAAGAAATATTTGCATTCATCTTAGAGTCTCTACCACCTCACTGGTCTACTGCCATTTAATTATTAAAATGACTTTCATTACTTGGAATACTAAAAATATTTATGTCTTCTAAGAGTTTTCTTCTAACTCTTCTCTTTGCATGTAGTGAATTAAGGGAAATTTTTTCAACATTTTTTATTTTATAATATTTGAATTTTGGACTCATACATAATATTAACATGATTAATTGCCTTTTTATTTTTTTATTCTAATTCCACACAGGAAAATCATGTTTGGTAGCCAACTGAGATATCCCGTTATTATCTTAACAAAAACTGAGACAATATTCAAATTCACAAGTTAGTAAAAAATATTAAATCGCTATAAGTAATAAAACAGGTCCATAGGTCAATGATACAGAAGCCAACATTTAATAGACCCTGCCATGCTGATGGAATCACAGTATGGTTCATGTTTCCAGTATGAACCACCATGATTGAGCTTTTATTCCTTCCAAGACCATAGTCTTGGAAAATGCTATAAGGCAATTTGCTCAAATTTAAACATAAAATAACACATGGAAGTTATTATATCTTGAATATCTGTGTCCAAAATTTACATCTGAACAGTTAAGATCTTTGGCCTCAGTACAGAAAGACAAACTCAAACTAACTAGCATTATGAGATACACATTCCTCTGAAATGGGCATAATCACTGTTTATATTTTAGAGTAACATTGAAGCTCAGATAAATTCATTCAGGTTAAGCATTTACAGCAGACCATGGCATATGAAGAGCCACATAGATCTATTATCTATCTACTGTCAACGTGTCTTAGACAAAATGGGGTCAAACCACCACTTACATGTATAGATAAGCTTTATAGTCAACATTGCTATGAAATTAGCCCACACATCTTGATTCCTATCTAAAGGAATAAAAATTGCTAAGAAGTACAAAGATGAAAAAATAATTGTGTTACTAAAATCCCACATGAATTCATACATCCAGCCAGCCAGCCAGCCAATCGTTCCTCTATTCATGTTATATTCATGGATTGATTGCTATTATAAGATGCATTGGCTTTAAATAAATGAATGGAATTGGTTCTAATACAAAGATCTGCTGCCTGCCAGAATCTAAGTTCTTCACTGACATTTAGTCTGATGGTTTAGATTCTGATGTGAGAATGGATAGTGAAATCTTGAACAAAATCATGAATAGGTATTCTACTAGAAAATTCTAAGGCTTCCAGGCTCACACATTTATCATGGCTCTCCAATTTAATGGTCTCTTACCTATTATGAGAACAAATAGCTTGTATGTTACAGTTCATTTGCATGTGATTTCGAGGCTGTTGAATTTTGACAAGAGTAGTTTTATTTTGATTTACTCTGAGATAGGACAGTGTAAATTAGAAGCATTTGGTCTGAAATGATCAGGACTCTTTGCCAAAATTTTAAAATTAGATGCATGATCTGAGACTAATCAAGTTGGTCTTTAAATTCAATTTTAAGTAGAGACTGATACTTACTGAATATATATTTCCTACTAGATATTCGAAAGTGGAAAAAGCCAACATCACTTATTATTCATACAATTTTGCCTTCAGAAAATGTCAAATTAAAAATTAATAGAAATAGTGGATAATAAAATGGCCAAATGCTATGCAATGATCACACAAATCATTATTTTCTAAGCCCCTGTTATATCTATAAAATGCAAGGAAATTGTAAGAACTCATGCAATTCTAAAACAGAGAAAGTAGATTCTGACACAACTCTGTGGAGGTTTTTCACCTCAAGTTCAACACCTAGATTCGAGAATTATATGTGAGTCCAGATGGATTCTTATGGATATGTTGTTGAAATAATGACATTATTATTACCCCTTCATAATAATCTTACCCAAATATGTAATTGCATATTTTGCCACCATTTTATCCAGATTTTGGACATTATATGCATAGAAATAGATAGTAGGTATTATTTTATTCTATCTCCTAAGTCTGGTAATTATTACTGCATCAGAGTTTTATTTCTATGTAGATTTTGTTTGTATTATTATCTTGGTGTAAGAAATTGACTACAATTAATTATTCATAATTATGGAGTATGTACTTATATTTTCACCAATGTAAAATCAATTATAACCTCTAAATCTGCAATCAAGTCATTTTGTAGTTTTCTGTAGGATCAGACTTGAAGAGACATTGTCACTGGATATGCATGCTTTCAGTTCACAATTTGATAATTTTTTTTCACATACAGAAATTGTTTAGTATGATCCTAAACTTCAAATAAAGGGCTCTGATGGGCCTAGAGGTAAACTATTTCTAGAGATGAATCGTAGTGTACTTATCCTCAGTTTTAGCAAATGAGCAATATGTGTTAAGTAACTTAATTTCAAACACACACACACACACACACACACACACACACACACACAAGGGTTTGATCAAGTGGCTAACACATTACAGCCAGAATCATTAGCACCTGGACTTCTAATTCCTATAAAACAATAATATTTAATAATTTAATGTTAGTGATAATGTGACAGTAATTTTCACAAATAATTAAAAACAGTAGTGTTTGTACATATCAGACAATGCTGTAACTATTTAAAATTAATGAACAATTAAAGCATAATCAAATTTGACTAATATAAATAATGCCACTAGCTATATATTTGTGTGATGTACTTTGGTGTGTGTGATATATCAAATTACATATGTGTGTATACAACAGTATATACATGATCATATATACAACCATCTTATATACATATACATATATATATATATATATATATATATATAATTAAAAATATACCAACCTGCATGCGGTATACAAGGTTAAATATGAAAAGCAACATTGTTTTTAAGGTTGTGGGCATGTGTTTAATTTTAATGGACAAATTTTGGAACCATACGGTTAAACAATTTTAAAATAGCATGTATTTGTATTAGTGGTTAATTTCTATGAAAACAAATTTAAAAATTCTAATTAGCACAATGATGACTATGGTAGTAAAATTAGAAAAACATTTCTTTGGTGGTATTATTTCTCATAATTATACATTAATGTGAGATTTTAAAACTGGGAATAACTTCTTTTAGGTATTAATTTTTTTGCATTACAATCAACTTTAAAATTAAAAATGCTACAGTGAGTGTAACCTAAAATTTAACCAGATTGAAATAAACATTAAAACAATGCTAAATAACATTTTAAATAAGGGCAATAGAACTTGAAGCAAAATTAAAATACAAAAGCAGTTCTGAATTAATAATAGTGCAGGCACACTATCCAACAGCAAGGCAATGCTGGTGTGGAGAAGCAGGTAAATCACTGTGTGTGGAGGAAGTAAATAGACCTGAGGGCTTCTTCAGAGATATACAAGAGGCGAGTGAAGTCACATCCCTGAAAGACTGAGCAGGAGAAATCAAATCTTTGGGTACTATTGAAATCCACTGGAAACATTTCAAAACCACAGTCCACTTTGATTTCTTTGTCTGGTTTGCAGAAATTCATATTTTACCACAAAAATGAACTAAAATTGAAATTGAAACTGAAATTGTTTATATTCAGAATGAGAAAACTTACTTAAACATTAAATTTCATGTGCTAATGAACAAAGGAATGGTTATATCCATGATATATTGAAATTTAACTGTCAACAGAATATTCTTTCTGTTTAAGGTTTAATTGTAATAAAATGTAACCTTGCATGAGTCAAAGCCCTTGCTGCCAAACCTAAGTTTGATAACCAGAACTGACTGGTAGAAGGACAGTATGTAGTGTGTACTCCACACATTTGTCCTCCTACCTCCGCATGTGAGACACAGGGTGCATGCATCCACACACAAATACACACATTATATAAAAGTTTAACATTTCTGCACACTATTGTTAGTCATTGGCAAGTATAACATGTTTGGAAATACCATCCCTGAACTTAAAAAAGTGAAAATGGTTGAGAGTGATGAAGAGAAAGAAAATAGATGAAGGACACATCAATATAACCTCTAGGACCCAAGAGACACTACAATTCTGATAGATATATTGACTGTGAAAATTCCAAAAGCAAAAGCTGCAGAAGTGAAATGTTAGAACATTCAGAAAATTAGTGGGTCAACAAATTTATAGTCAAGGAAAACTACCTGGACAAATACCCAGGAGTTTATTAATCTCCAAGGAAGATTTTAAAGTGGCTAACACCACGCTGTCTTGTACAATTCTGTATGGATCTTAGAAGCAGTAAGAGAAATACAGAAAAAGTCTCCCTAACTGGTTAGTGTCAGCTGAGAAGTATCTCATCAGAATGTGTCAAAGTGATATGGAAGTATTAAAAGTATTAAAGGAGAGCAAAAGCAGGCTCACTTGCTGTACAAGTATCAGGACTTGAATTTGAATATCCAGCATCTACATAAAAATAAAAAAGCTGAACTTGGCCAGTGTTGGAAGAGAAGATGTGGAGGGAGATATATTCCTAGAGCTCCCTAGCCAGACAGCCTAGCTAAATGGCAAGCTTCATGTTTAGTAACAGAACCTGTCTGGAGTGAATAGACTGAGAGTGTTAGGGAAAGACACTCAATGTTCTCCTCTATCCTCTACATGCATGCACGTAAGTACTCACCCAAAACACATGTACATACAAACATATGTACACACACTAAAAATTTAACTAATAAATCTTTAAGAAGAGAAAATAGATGCTAGACATGAGCGAAGGGAGAACAGAAAGAAAGGAGCAATTCATGAAGAATAATACTATATCCCGGAAAAAATTGTCTTCTAAAAATGAGAGAAAATTTAAGGCTTTCCAACATAAGCAAAAGCCCATTGTGTTCATTATCCCTGGTGTTGACTTTCTGAAATTCTACCGAAAATGCTGGTGAAATGAAGACACAGTCACTGGACAGACTAAATAAAGAGTCATTTTAATATAGGTAAATTCATGGACAATAACAAGAACTAGTGAT